TTTTTGTTTTTAAGGTTAAAATGTGGGCGAACCGAAGTCTCTCGGAGTAAACCCTATGTCATTTCAGTTTTTTTTGCATGTGTTTGCCTCGAAACCGCCAAAGATTAATCTTTGCATCCAAAGCAGGCGGTGAACGGCTTGGCCACGGTCTTTAAGAGACTTGAGAAGAGTCTGTTCACACCAGTCTTCTTCTCTGGCATCACCAGATGCTTTTTCACTGTCTCAGTTATGTATCTGTAAATAGATACATCCCGGGTGAGAAGGCTCTTCTGCAAGATCTTTGCGCCGCCTGTATTCTTGCACAACTCCTTGTGCACCGCCTCGACGACCCTTTTTATATCATGGCCGCTCGGCTTGACGGCAACGTCAGCACCTCCAATCTGCTCCCAAAGCAACTCCGCCATTGACCCACTGATGCTTTCAATGACGTTGCAAGTCAGACTACCGTCCAGATGTTTCCGACTTTTCATAATTTTTTGGAACACTGCAATGGCCATAATATTGCAGCTCATTAAGTCCCACTGATAGGCTGCTGGTGCTGCGGTCTCACCTACAGCTTCACCGGCCTCATCTCTGATGGGTGACACGATGGACTGAATGGGAGTGGAAGGTGGTTCTACTACAACCACCGAAGTGTCACCAGACTTGTCTCGGATTGGTGACTTTACAGACTGAACGGGGGTGGCAAGTGGTTTGGCTTCAACCACCAAAGGGTCCCTAGCTCTGTCTCTAATCTCTGACTTGACGGACTGTATGGGGGTGGAAGGTGGTTCTGGTTCATCCACCAAAGTGTCTCTAACTTTATTTACAACTGTCGATTTGACGGACTGTATGGGGGTGGAAAGTGGTTCGGATTCAACCACCGAAGTGTCCCTAACTTCATTTACAATCCACGACTTGACGGATTGTATGGGGGTGGAAGGTGGTTCGGCTTCAACCACCAAAGTGTCACCAGCCTCAACACTTGAAGCTGAACCTGACACAGGTGTCACGCAGCCACTTTGTACAACTGAGGCCTCTGTGAGCGATCGCTGGCTGACCACTCCCCTGATTTGCTTCACAGCCAGACTTGCGTGGTCCTCCCTCTTTTTGTGGAGCTTAAGCTGCCGGTTAAGCCAGTTGCGTATCTGCCTCATGAAGGTGTTAATTTCTCCCTGTATCTCAAAACGGAAGTCCAAGGAGGGGTCCTGCTGCAGGTGCTGTGAGACAATATCACCAAGTTCTGTTGCAGCCATGTTGTGTTGTCCGCTGGATATTACCTCTGCGATTCTCTCGTAAGTGGGTTCGTCGTCCGTGCCTTTATATATTTCCTCTTCGTTTAATGAGATGATGGTTTTCACCACCAGATCGGTCTCTTCCATTAACTGGCTCAGAGACGTCTTTTCTTCTGGGACGCATTTATATTTACGCCTCAGTTGTCTCACAAGTACAAGTAGTGAGCCCTTGGCAAATCTTACCGCAAAGAAATACTTAAGTTTATCTCCCACCGTTTTCCAGTAGGGTAACTTTTCATATTCAGCCACTGATTCCGGCACTGATTCCAGCAGTGAAGTGTCTTCAATTATTTGTTTGACTATAGAAGAAGCCATCTCATCTGTGTCCTGGGAGGAACTGAATTCAAACACTTCACATTCTTCATCGGAAATCTTAGCGTTATAACTAATCGGGGTAATGCTTTTTGCCTGTTCTTGCAGAATAGTTTTCACGGCTTCTGTCGTTTCGATGACAAAGCTCGTCTGAGGCAGAATGTCCGTCCCATCCACAAAAAAAGGTGCGGGGGATGACTCCTCGCTTCCAAGGGGCATGGTGCCCTTCGCACCTGTGCAGTTTTTTAACATCCTCACCACATGTCGGACCATGGTCTTCAGTCTTTGTGTGAATGAACGTGAGACGACAGGACTTTTCCCTTTATTCCTGCCTCCAATACTTGCCGAGTCATTGGAGAGCTCATTTAGTCTCTCAGTGATCTCTCTAACCACAGTGCTGGTTATCTTCTCCGCGCTTTGGTAACTGATGATCCTGGTTGTCTCACAGAAAGCCAGGGAAATTACGTCTCCCAGACAGCTGCGGACATCATCTTCAGATATGCTGCTCTTCTGTGATCTGGCAGACCCAGAAGAGCTTTTAGAGGATTTGGGAGTGAGTCTCCCCTTTAGTTGGCTCTGATGAATCACCTCAGTAACATGTATGAATAACATATTTACAATATCCACACACAATTCAATAATTACATCCTCTGTGGTGCTGTCTAGAGCCCCGCCTTGCAGCTGCAACAACTGTATGGTTGTCAGCTTCTGCAGGCTCTCTTGGATAAGTACACGAAGACTCTCATTTGTAGATTGATCCATGTCTGTTAGTATCCTTGAATCCGAAGTCCTTAAGAATCTGTGCTTATTCTGTTTGTGTCCTTGTTGGAAGTGTCCTGAAGAATGTGAACTGAACCAGGTTGATTGGGATCCTATATCCATAGTTTCAGACAGAATGTTCGCCTTTGTATCAAAGCAACATTCTATTGGCTTTGATCTTTGAATGACATCACATTTCGATGACATCACAGCAAAAGATTAAAGAAATTTAAAAAAAAACACTTCATTGCGAAATTGAAACAATTTAAAAATAAACATGTAAACTTTGCCAATAATTAGTTGTTTTAGTCTTATAAAAAAACACTATTTGAAATTCTGATTAATAATAGTTTTGGCTCAACAAAAAAAACAGTTATAATAAAAATAATGAAAATAATGTTTGCAACTTAAAAGTTTTTTTCTAAATCGGTAAATTATAACATTTATTATGCATTTAATTAAGTGGTAGTAGGTCCACATTACTTTTTAGAGTGGATGTTTTTGCAATGCAGTCTGCAAAGTTGGCATGTTAGCATGTGGTTAATAATTAATATTAACTGTGCACATTACTAACAAGAATATTACCCAAAAATAAAACCCAATAAACCCATTGAATTGTACTTTGAATTTGTACAGAGAAAAACGAGTGCAGAGATTACTGTAGACCTGTTCTGATGATGGAGAACAGAATCTCTCGAAGTTTGAATGAATAAATTCTGCATGCTGCTAATTTCTGCGTCTCCATTACTGTGATTTTAAAAAACTCGTTGGCAGGGAGTAGTAAGTGACATAATAATATTACTTTTGAAAAGAGTAATACAGTAATGTTTCCATTAATATTTATAATTAGAATCAAGTATAGAAGAAGATGGCTGTTTAAGAAACCCTTTGAGATGAAGATATTTCTCATTTATTTGAATATGTAACACTTTTATCCTTTACAGCTACAGAAATATGACCTTCCTCTCATTTATTTTGATATTTTCAGATTTCAGAAGACAATTACACAACAAAACACATTCTACTTTAAACTGATTATAAACTGACAATTACAATGTTTATATTATAGTAAATTATACCGTAATGACTTTCTGTATCTCAAGCGTTGACCGCATTAACCCCCTGCTAGGTATCACCTGCTAACGTCAGTCATAATTCGTCAAGTCTCTCCTTTGTGTTTCAGGTCTGTCCCTGGACCACCAGATAGTCTCTGCGGTGTCTCGTGTCCGTCTGTCCGAGAGGGAGGAGGAGAGTCTGTCCTGTTTCCTCAGGGCCTGTGACGCCGCTCTGTCCTACCTGCAGGAGCTCGATAAGGTTTGTAGAGTACGCATGAAAACATAAGTGTGTCTGTGTTCATCAGTTTCTTTCCTGCTTGTGTGTCTGCGTTTATAATTGATCGTTTCTATTGACTCGTGTCCAGCAGTGTTTATTTCAGTGTATTTATATTCAGGTCTTTCCATTATATGCTACTTTATACTTAATATATTACACAGCTATAGTTGGTGGTTACTTTTCTTATTAAGATTTTACATACAAACATATGGTCAGTGTAGCAGTTCATTTGTGTTTACTATTTTTTTTACTATTACTTTTTAGATCTGAAAAACATCAGATCTGAAGTTACATTCATGGAGCCTTCACTCAGCCTCGTTCTGCATTGGAAAAGATAAAACAACCAAAGAGTTATTAGAAAAAAACACTGAAATTGTCACAAAGAAAGAAGCTTATTATATTATTATATTAAGTAAATATGTATAAAAAGTTTCTAAATATCAGGAAAACTTGTCTCTGACTCAACATTCACAGGAAATATTTAATCCAAATCATTGTGTTCATTGTACAGTTATTTTCTGTACTGTTATTGGTATACATTGAATATAATATGAAATATCTATAAAATATGTCAGAGTCAGGGGTCATCAGTTTACTCAGTGATTAAAAAAAAAGGGGTACCTTAAGGAAACAGGTTGGGAATCACCTGTCCAATAATGTAATAATGGGGTCATTCTGCATAATGGTGCATTGCCAGTACCTCTTTACTTACTTAAATAAGATTTTGAATGCAGGACTTTTACTTGCAATTGAGTATTTTTACAGTGTGGTATTACTACATTTAAGTAAAGAATATACTTTCCTCTACTGTTCCTCTCTGTACTGCTTTGGTTCACTGTGACATCCTGTGTCCATTCACTCAGAGACCCTCTGATACTGGAGCAATAGTCAGAAGATTAAAAGACACAAACAGGAAGTCTAAAGGTTTAAATATAGTGAATATAAACTGTGTACTTTCAGACAGTAACAACACCTCACACCAAGACAGCCAAAGCCAGTCTGCTTCCTCCACCCGTGGACATCGAGCTGGGCTACTTCCTCCAGGCTGCGTTACAGAGTGGTTACCTTTGTCTGCTGCAGAGGGGGTGAGTCCACAAACCCCACATACCCAGACACTGTCTGCCTCCCCCTGTGCTCTGTCTGTAAACCTTCTGCCTGTTCTTGCTTTTCCTGCCTTTTTTATAAATCATTTTGACCTTCAAGAGTTAAAACATGTCAGGCAAACAAAAATACATACACATATTTGCTTCGATACCAGGTGGGAAGTTACAAAATCACATAAAAATCATCAAGAAAAGGCACATAACACCAATAAAGGACAGAATACTGTATATACACATAAAGCAATAACAAATATGTGCACAAATGTAAAAACAGAGACAGAACAAGACTTGTAAGAACAATATAAAATAAAATATTAAGTAACTAAAACCCACTAAGAATAATTAAAACCCAGATAAAACATGTACATCTTGAGTTTTGTCTTAAAATTGTCGATGGATCGAGCAGCGTTTAATGAAAGCGGAAGATTATTCCAAAGTTTTGGAGCTGCCACCGCAAAGGCATTATGTCCCATACCCACCAACCTCGACTGTGGGACAGTTAAAAACAGCTGCTCTGAGGAAATGAATGATGACCTTGGATTTAATTTTGTAATTGTGGAGGAAACTAGTTTGGAAAATGGAAATATTCACTTTGATTTTAATTGTTGTCAGTCTGAATTTTGAGGAGAAAGAGACGCTATTACCAGTGTTGTGGGGAGTAGCAGAACATTAATATAACTAGTTGGCACCTTTGCTTAGTGATAATAAAATAATGGTGACAGAATGCATCTCTTCATTGTCATTTTCATTATATAGTTGTTTGTTGGTAATTTATCTAGCTGTATTTACATTACATCACTGGTTATGCAATACGTTTATTCATCCCTGTCTGTTATGGAGGGAACCTTGGGCTTTTTCATCCAGTGCTGTGTCAGAAAGGAGAAAATAAGTAAATCATGAAAAGGCTTTTGAGCACCACTTGACCTCTGTGCAGCAGGGATGCATTTTAACCTGTGACCAGCAGGTGTCAGTGTTGCTCTTAAACTCAGTGTTGGTCTGTCACACCCCTTCCTTACTTCGAGCTAAAGGTAATGCAGACTAATGCAACAGTCCTGCAGTAAATGCTGCCTTCATGAAGGATATTTTATTTTTTGTCTATTTGAATAGGGACAAATGCCACACACCACAGCATTTACAGCCTAAGCTAATTATGTAATGCCCGTCCCAATATTTTACTTTACTTTAAAATACATAAAGCTCAACAAATACACAAGATACAACACAAAACAAACAGAACAATAAGAACCTACATTAAAAAACACAGAACTCAAGGAAACCTACAGGACACAATGTAATTAAAGCTCCATAAAACAGGACGAATCAGTTCATTCATGACTACAGGACTGATCCCTCTTCAGGAACTGTTGAAAATGATCTCAGTCAGGATCCAGTTCCAGAAACAGAAAAGGATGTTTGACCCTTTTAATTCCCTCTGGATGCTACCGAGCCTGAAGGTCACTGAGCACCTAGGGAGGCTGGTTATGTAGACATTTGTAGGTGTTTTTAAGATGAGCAAATTTAATAAAATAATCAAAATTCAACATATTTAATTTACTAAGAATGTGGCAGTGACCTGATCTCATCGGCCTCCTGTCCAAAGTCTCGATTGCTCGATTGTATTTCATCATAAAGTTACTGTAGACCGAAAGGTTACACAATAATAAGTTATATATTATATATAATATATAATATTATGAAGCGATTATCATTATAGTCTCTAATAAGTCTGAATAAGTCTTTAAAGTAACATATGATGTCTTTGTTGCGACTGCTTTAGAGAGCTGTGTGGTTGTTGTTTGTGGTGCTGTTGCTACCATCACTGATGTAAACAGGGTGGACTAAATATTAGAAACACTAACAACCAGGCATGTTGCTGCCGTCGTTGTAGGATCTCTGCGTACACGGCGAGCTGTGACCCTGGGTATGTGAAGCAGTCAGAACATCGCTGCCGCTGTTAACTAAGGGCTCTTATCGTTCTGTACAGACTGTCAGCTTCTTTTTTCTTCTTATTTCTTTTTTCAATGTTACACCTTCACCACCTTTACATCACACTGATGTATACGCCTACTGTGTATGTGTGTTAGTCATCTTGCGCAGGGTGCTCACCAACTGCGTAGGGTGCTCCGGGTGGTGGAGTCACGAGGGTCTCAGAGCTTCAGGAAGGTGAGGTGTCACACACACACACGCACACATACACACACACACACTATATAACCCAATGAGTTAGTTTAACTCAAACAGAGCCAGCAAACCGTTTAATTGTATTAACTCAAACAATTAAAGCATGAAAAAATATGTGATTTAAGTAATTATTCAACTCAGTTATTGTTAAATAAATTCAATTCAGTTAATTAAAGTTAAACTCAACAGAATTTATCTGAATGAAGTTACCTAATTACATCTTCTTTAATAAAAAAGATATAGAGCATTATAATGATAATATGATAACTTAAAGAAAACAAGTCAATGGAAAAAAAATTAATTATATCGAATACTTAAAATGACTTAAAAATTTAAATGTGATTTAATTTTTTTCTTTAACTATTTTTTTCTTGGATTAAGTTATGTAAACTTATTTTTTTTTATTAGGATATGTTGTTAATGTTATGTTGCTGGCTACCGAGCACTCATTATCCAATATAGTTTATCAGTGTATTATAGTAACTACATGCTAACACTTTAATACATCGTGCTTTCCCTCGTAGTCTGCAGCGAGGAAGCTAGCAGAGGTGCTGCTGAGCTCTGTGAGTGAAGACAGCTACTGGCCCCCGCTGGGCCCCCCACCCTCAGCCTGGCTCCACAGAGAGGGAGCCGCCGCCTCCAAAGACGCCATCTACCCCACTGTTAAACCGCCGCAACGTTACAGCACTGACTGGTTTGTACTGTTTGTTTCATTTCTCTGTCAATACATCTTAATCTCTTAATTATCTCATCCATTCAACCCACCTGTCAGTGTACTGAGTGCAACCAAGTTCAATATTTAAGAAGGGTGAAGCCTCCTGTGATTGTTTTTTGGTACTCCATTGTGTCAACTCACCACTGTGCCCAGAGCAGTTATCTCCAGCTGTCAAGTTCTTTTATCAAAGCTGCACTTTCAGCCCATGTCGTATCTGTTTGGCCTGAGATACTGTCCTACTAACAACAACTGTAGCAGCTGTTCTCTTTGTCCAAGTGTTATTGTGCTAACACAATAAGTGTTCATCAGGGAGGGACCTCTCTGCAAAGTAAAAGGACTTTCACATGTGAAGTCAGGTAACAGACCCTCCTGGAGGCTGCTCATAGGCTACCAGATTACATTGGGTCAGTCAGGGTGAGGAATCTCACAACACACCCAGACTGTTTCACACACCTCTCCTCCTCTCCTAGAGCTGAAACAGTAAAACAAATAGGGCAATAAATTGGATTTTTCACTCATAGTCTGACAGACAAACGATTATGTTGCCTCCTAATTAATTAACTGTCATTACAGCTCATATTTAAGTTATTTTAAGAAATTCACAGAGTACTTAAAAGTACAGTTACTGAGAAAAAGACAAGCTTGTAAAGGAGCATGTACACACCAGTCCAACCCACCTGTATAAATAAAGGTTAAATGATAAGTGTAACTTGACTATAAATGATAAAAGACTCACTGAATATTGTTCCAGTTTCTCACATTTTTTCCTCCACACTTATATGGTCGGCTGAACTGGGAAGACATAAATCTCAAAGCTAAAACCAATTACCTTAATTACCCTTTAATCACCTGTGCATGCAGCTGCGCTTTAAACCCCTGTGAGTTCTGGACCAGCTGAACCCTTTTTAAATCGTAGCTAATCATAGATAATATTACATAACATAATATAACATAACAGCACAACACTCTATGACAACATAATGTGACTTATTATGTTAAATGACATAAAATACATAATTTAACATGACATGTCAACACATACCATGTTAGCATAAAGGTAGCATAACACGAAATAATGTGACATGACATAATAGAATAACAAAGCATAAAATAACATGAAAACATGACATGACATAAAATTATGATAAATGATTAAATAATATGATGACGCACCATAATATGACATAACATAACAAGACATAACAGTATAAAATAGCACATATCTCCATGTAACATGACATAAAAACATGACATACCATGACAGTATAACACCGAATAATGTGACATGACATAAAATAATATAACAAAACAAGGTAGCATAACTCCACAATGACAATATAATAAGACATAACATGACAAGACCTAAAGTGCCAATAAAATTAAATACATTAACATTCACACGGGATCAAAATGCACTGCATCGACATAACAAACTGGTGATCTGCATCAGCAGAACTAAACTATAACAATATTTTGCTGCCTCGTTTCTGTCTTTCCTTCTTTGCAGGGATCCTGCGCTCGTTGCTGAGGCCCTGTGAGCCATACTTAGTCACCGCCACATGACTAATCCTGCCCACACTATCATAAGAGAAGATCTAAATCCATGTCTGAGATTAGAAGGAGAGTAGGAACAGGAGACTTCACCCTGAGGAATAGCTGCACTTCAGTATTGTTCATGGCTTTTGTCATTGGTTACCTCTTTGTAAAAAGGCCATGATGGTGTCTGGTAAATGTGTCCTTTAATAGCACACAGAGCCGACCAGAGCGGGAAGAAAAGCAAAGAAAGTGATGAATGAGAGGGATGGGAGAGGTGGAGGTGGAAGAAATGAAGGAGCCAGTGTGTGTGTGTGTGTGT